GGGTACATGATCAGCTTTCAGCCAATATTTGTAAACTTACTGACTGTCCCTCAAAGCCCACTTCAAAATGAATTCTTTTCTTAACCTACTCTGTTTTCTTTGACTTCTTGTATTACCCACATTCATCTTCATTTTCATCAGCTGATTATAAATTACTTGAAAATGGAGTCCATAACTTGCATCACTTTGCATCTCTCAGAGCTTCTTAGTAATGTGAAGAAAGTAAATATCATGCTTTTGAGATAGGTCCATAATAGGACATAAGAATGACTTATAAAATTCATTGATCATGCACTCTTGGCCAGTCACTTTTCTGATATCTGAGGTGGCGACCTAGAAAAACTGGATTCTGTATTTTCACTGCCATCAGCTACCTATATTGCTTCTGTTGATGCATCTAAGTTCTCTGAGCTTTGGACTTCTCCTCTAGGAACTGAGAGGGTTGAACTAGGTTAGTTCCAATATCTCTTCCATTTGTAGAATTCTCTAAGTTCTAAATATTTATGTATAGGTTGATGAGTGGTATTTGTCAAGTAGTTGCTCACTAATATAATCTTTACCTTTACAAATTCATGACTGTTTATTTTCAGTTTCTTTTAGTTTATTTACTTTTTCAACAAATGTTTATGGGATACTCCTATGTAATATGTAGTGTGCTAAAAATGCTAGAGGTAAAGTAATGAGCATAATCTCTCATCCTGAAACATGCTGCCTCTCATACCATAATGCCCTGAGCAGCCCAATTCACATCAATTTTTTTGACAAAAGAGTAAAATTTTGCTAAACACTCCACTACAACTCCAGCTAGCTGATATCCTTCTTAATAACATAAATTATTCACTTTGGAAGAAATTTAAACAAATGAAAAACAAAATACTCCCTAGGAGTGTAACTTATTTGGGAATTCTCTACATCCCTGGTTTTAAGCTATTTCCTCAATGACTATTATTATGAAGAGAGTGAAGGTTAAGTAGTGGTTCTTTGAGCCTTTCCCTATATTTAGCTAGAGCAGCTCCATTTAAACATCTGTTTTATATATTGAGATTGTGCTGCTAAAAATTGAATTTTGATAACCACTGTTCTAGATAACTAATTGGAATTAAAAGTAAAATAATGAGCAGGATGTTATACATATAAATGTATTATGATTGGTGAATATGCTCATTATGTGTTTTAATGATATTTATAAAATGTAACACCCATTATCCTTTGATAAGCCAAGGGTTTGTGGTATTAAAACTTCCTTAACTCTCCCACAGAATCTAGTGGTTACAGCATTAGATGCATTTTTCTTGTTGCATTTGAACTTCCAAAGAGCTTCGGATGCTGTAGTTCTCTATCATGACGTTGGCATTCTCCTTATGTGTAATATTGGTCATTTATAGTTAAAGAGAATATCTTGGGGATCTTTATTTTGACACCCTTGGTTACTTCTACACTGGGTTCTTCTAAGCAAAGTGACTTTGAACACATTTTACATTTTGGTAGTTGAAAAGAAGATTAATTCTGTACCACAAAATTAAAATTCATTAATGATACAAGAGAAATTCAAAAGTAACTTTCTTATAAAGCTCAAGTCAGCACCAAAAAACATTTATGTAAATGATTCATTATCTTACTGGACTTAATCAAGATTAAAAACATAATAGTTTTTTTCCTCATTTTGGTCATGAAGAAAACAATTCCTCATTTTTATTTGAAGCAGAACAAACAAAATAAATATAATGTAGCCTATGTGCACTGAAGGAAATCCAGTGGGGAATCTCCTAATATGAAATGACTCATTTACAATTCAAATATGAAATGATTGTAAAGAAATACACTCAGTAAGAAGCATTCAGAGATAATCTTGGGTCATGATATGCTCGTCCATATGATATCCCACAACTCAATTCTCTTAGGAGTGCCTCAGCCTTGATATACTTCCTGAAAAGGAAGGATAGTTTTGCCTTTAATCTAGCCTGAATTCTGGTTGGAAAGGAGACTTTGATGACTTTTATACCTTTTCCTCCCCAAGATCTTAAAAAGTAGTTTAGCTGGAATCATTGCACAAGTCTTAAACAATTCCCAATTGTCCTGGGATTGTAGTTAGCATGAATTAACCATGGCATTTTCCAGAAAGAGTCCCTTTACAATGTGCACGTGAGGCCCTATCTTGAACTGTCCTTGTGCTCAGGGTTCCCTCAAGCTTGTTCCATTGGTCTGACTCTAATATGTTTGCAGGTGCCTTTTACTCTGTGCCTGTAACTATAGCTGTGTTAACAAATGAGCCTTAGAGCTGAAAAACTGATCATTAGCTGATGGATCTTTTTGGCAAATTTGGAGGGCTTAACTAAAGTAGCTTACTTTGTATACTTTCAAAGTTAGATATAAGATGATTCCTTTTTTGTAAAAACTCATTTGAATTAGCAAAACTAAGCAAATCAGTCACTACATTGAGATTTCTGTTAGTTTTTTGTGGGGGGCTTAGTTAGCCTTTGGGATAAACAAGCGATGACTATTGTCCTCTTCCTTAAGGACCCATCTGATTAGAAAAATGGTAAAATTCACTCAAAGTCTACTTTTATTTACAGTCACAATATTCTTCTCTGTGAGGATGGGCATGCTGTGGTTGCAGATTTTGGAGGTGAGATTCCCAAGAATAACACCCATATAACATCATTTTCTTTCTTCATTCTTTGCTAGTGCCTGATATTGTATGATAAATCTGAAAATGGCTTTCACAGTGTCAGCACTACTTACCTGTCATTCAAATATTCATGACCCTAATTTTAAAAACATATTTATTTTCAGTTTTTCCTCTTTGATATCCCCAGTTAAAAGAAAGGAAGTGAGAATTTAAATAAGATAGACGTTTCTTGGGGTTTCAGTATTTAAGCTCAGTCTTTGACCTTGGTGTTAAGATATCTCCTTTGACATGCATACATTTTCTCTTTCCCTCAGAATCAAGATTTCTGCAGTCTCTGGATGAAGACAACATGACAAAACAACCTGGGGTTCTCTGCTGCTTGTGTTCCCTATAATTATGAAACAATTAAAATGTGTAAACTCAGCACGACAGGAAGTGAGATGAGAGTAGCTTTAACTGGAAGAAATGTCACTGTCCCTGAGGCAGGATAATGTTTGATGTTTCTTATTTGCAGTAGGTCCACAAAAGAACTATTTCAGGTTTCTATTCAGAGAAATAGATTTGATATAGATTTAGAAAATGTTATGGATAAAATGATACAGATCATCTCAAATATAACTGAAAAGTACGTGGCAGGCATGGATAATTGGCTCTCGTATTTACATCTCCTTATTGAACAGTAAAGTTAACATTTAATATTTAATAGGTAACTAACTACAAATTTTGTGGTTCACCAGCATCTTTTAACAACTCATTTCCACTTTAGCATTATAAGGCAATAGGTGGTACAACCAAGCATTAATGTGTAAGTAAAATATAAATTAAACATCCAAAGCAAGCATAGTTGTACTCAAAATGTCTGCAATTAAATTCATTACCTGTCCTCTTCTTTACTCCCCTTCCCACCAAGAAACTACACTTCTCTTTCTAGACTACCTGTGTTATTTAATTGCCCAAGCTTTGGGCAATTTTTCATTCCTTCTTTTTCCTGCTTCCACTGACACATTACTCAATCACATTTTCTGTTTATTTCTTTCTTTTCTTAAGTTCATCCCAACCCCTCACTTTCCACCGCCTCAGTTCAGGTCCTCATCATCTCTTTCCTAGAATATTGCAATAGGCTTCCAACTCCAGTCTTCTCTTCCAGTTCATTCTCTGCAACATCACCCAAGTGCTGTGTTTTAACAATTCACCTCATCTTGTAAACCATCAACGATGCCAAAATCCAGATCTGTTTGCCTCACAAACTCCTGGGCCCCTCTGTGACCTCCTCCCCTACAGCAAGTTCTCTCAAGTCCCCTGTATCCCAACACACAAGCTGCCTGGCCATTCCCCAAACATGTCACTTACTTTCATGTCCCTGTGACTCTGCCAGTGTGGTATTTTCTGCCTGGAAAGCCCTTCACTGCACCCCCCACCACCACTGGAAGAAATCTCCTCATCTTGCAAGGCCCAGGAAATTGTATTGATTTTAAGTTTCTTCCCTTCTGTAACATGTCTGCCCACCCTCGCATCCTCCCTTTACACTTACCTCTTTGTGCTTTTGTAGCACTTTGTTTGCACTCCTGGTGTGTACTCTTACTCACTCAACAAACACTTATTAAGGACCTACCATGTATCAGGCATTGTGAAAAGGGCCAGGAATGCAAAACGTGAATAAAATCTTCATTCTTGATCTCAAGGAGCTCATTTTCTAGAGGGAAAAATACAGTAATAAGCAGATATATTTAGATCAGTGTGGAGGTTCAGTGATAAGATATGAGAAGCATCTTGGGAGCTTAGGTGGGTTAAGTAGGAGTAAATAAAATGTTGGGAGAATGGAAAGAGTGCCAGCAAGAGTGAAAAATAGCATAAGCAATGACGCAGGGAAGGATGAGAAACATCCGACTCCCTGGAGGAACTTCAGAAAGCTGGGCACTGTTGGCATGTACTGTGTAAGGAAGAGAAAGCGAGAGATGAGTTAGAGAGGAAGGCAGGAGCCTCGTCATGGACCGCCTTGTATTGTAAGTAGGATTATACATGCTGGTTTCCCCAGTGTGATTCCACTCTGTCACTGAATGAAAATTTGTGGAACACCTACTAGCTGCCAGACATCCTTCTGGGAACTGGGGATATTGCAGTGAACAAAATAGAGTTCTTGTTCCTATGAAACTAATATTCTACTAGAAGGATATAGATGCTGAACAAATGAACAGAATACAGATCAGGTGGTGATAAGTGTTATGAGGAGCAAACTCAGCAGAGTATATGAAAATGGACAGTAAGAGGAAAAGATAATGTTTGATATGAGACCTGACCAGGAGTCATCATAGGGGCAAGAGGAGAGCAGTATAGACAACAGGGGCAGTAAGTGCAAAGGCCCTGAGGCAGGAGAATTCTTTGAGTGTCTAAGGCCATAGTGAGTGGAGTAGAGTGAGCAAGGAGGAGAATGGGAGGATATGAGGTAAAGGAAATGGGAAGAATAAGTCCTCTTTTCACGAGACACACAGATCATCTCGTCTAGTACCTGGGACCCAGAGATGGCTAAATCAGTGGTTCTCAACCTGCTGAACACTGAAATCACTTTGGAAATGTTTTATAAATGTACTGCCTGAACCCAACCCCCAGAAGTTCTGATTTCACTAGCCAGGGGTTGATCTAGGGTAACCGTATCTTGTAACAATTCCCCAAGGTGATTCTAAAATGCAGCCACTGGAGACTTTCAAAGTAAACTTGTGTTGAGCAGAATTGAATTTCACCAACAGCAGGTGACATTCTTTTGTCCTAGCACTGCAGCCTCTGAGCACAGCAGTAGTCTAGATTTATTTTGAAGGCTATTTTGTTTCTTACTAGTTATGTGGCCTTATGTAAGCTTGCTAATTATTCTATTACCCCCTGTGAAAGAAGTGGGCATACTCTATGCCTACTCCCATTTATGCAGTGTTGTGACACAGCACATAATCTGCTGTATAAATGGAGGCTATTCAGAATGTGGAAGCTCATGTGGGAGAATTGCACATAAGCGGCGTAATTGGAATGAAGACATTCCTGGAAAGCTGTAATTATGTGTGATTTCAAAATAAGGTAGACACTTCAAAAGAATTTTCATCAGACAGCACTACACACAGAATTTCAGTATGAGGTAAAAAGGAATACTGGTTTCCTTCCGTAGAAAAACAAAGGGAGAAGGTGTTTGGCAAAGTACATTGATATAATTATGAAGCACTTGGATTTTAGGGCTGGAAGGGCCTGCCTCTTCGGTTCTGCCTGTGAGGAATCTGAGGACCAAGGAGTGTAGGACACTTGCCCAGAGCTGCCCAAATAGTCGGTGATAGAGCCAGAATAGTTTTCATCTCTAACTCAAAAGCTGGTGCTCTTTTACCTAAACCTCAAGTAAACCAAATTTACGCATTTGCCTCCCAGAATGGAAACTCATATTTAAAACTGAAAAATATAGTATTACAAGTGAAAAGAATGTAAATAATGCCATAGAAACATGAAGATAGAACTTTGTACAGAGAAACTTGTTTTATGGGCTTTCTTTCCAGAATAGTGCACAAACAGTGCTCAGAAGTAACTTAACAAGACAAAGGAGATAGGACCTGATCCTGCCGGTGGGAGGTCTGCTTCATAGGAATGTTCGGAGCACTCCCCTAAGTCCTTTTCTCTCCTCAGTCATGAGGGCACTATTTATGGGTCTACTTTAATGACTTCCTAAATTACTACCTGAAGACCTAAAGGAGGAAAGGTGCCTCCCGCAGTGTGTGCTTCATCCTCAGGGAGGCCTAGAGCTCTGGGATGAACCCATGGTTGACTATAGAAGCTTGTACGGCTGCTAGGGGGAAGATGATCGGAGAGAAACAAAAAATGTTGCTGCTACTGTCTGTGGTCATCATGTTCTTTAAGAGTCGGGTAACTTGATTAATATTGTTGCACTGTTTCTGGAAGAATTATGGATTTCATGATCTTCCAATGATTAAAACAAAAAATGCCCTTTGAAACACTAAACAGCAACAGTAAACACTATTTATGTATAAACATTGCTCACAGTAAGGACAGTATCAATATTATTTTACATTTATATCTTTTGAGAATATTGGAAGAACACTTAACATATCCTCACTAAGAACACTACGATGGAAGAACTGAACACTTGGTAAATGACTGGTGAATATTTTTCAATACGCAGAACCTCCGCTGGATGGCCCCTGAGGTGTTCACGCAGTGCACTCGCTACACCATTAAAGCTGACGTCTTCAGCTACGCTCTGTGTCTGTGGGAACTCTTCACTGGCGAAATTCCATTTGCTCACCTCAAGCCAGGTAAGACATGCTGCAATGAGTTTCTCTGTTTTCCAGAATTCCATGAATTTTCATAACTTGAAGCAACATTTGTTTCTCAAAAAATTATTATACTTGGTGGACTGGCATAGTGAGAGTTAATTAAACAGTCTCAAATTGTTTTAAGGTGTGTGCACAACCCAGAAAACGTAATGACCTAACTGTGATTTTAGATACCCACCCACCAAGTGTAGGTATGATTTATTAAAGTTTAAGACTTTGATTTATCTGTTGTTAATAAAACAAGCAAATGACTATGACCATGTGGTATGTGGGTACAAATAATGTTGACAATGCAATATTTAATTTTTTAAATTAGATTCTAGAAGAGTCTTTTTAGTGGGTATACAGGGCTGAGCTGAAAGTAGCAACACAGAGAAGTGACCCATTAGAATTCCTTTCTGTTTATGTCACAGTTTACAAGAGAGACTTGCTTTTCTTAATAATGTTGTGTTACATATATGGAAACATTCCAAAAATGAGGCTCTGTGAGTCTAATTTTTGGTGACAATATATATTATTCTCTGGGTACACATAGAAGGTGGAGGTAGGAAATATAATCATGGGGAAACACACACATATTTGAGGCTTAAGTAAATTTTATGTGCATCTTTCCCTCCATTTTATTTGGGTTGTTTTCATGTCACACTGTTTACTTATTATATCCACTATTATACTGCAAACTCCTTAAGGACTTAGCATCTGCAAAACCTACCATATTTGAAAAGTAGTTTGCAAATTAAAACATAAATATATTTTAAATTAAGTACATTGTTAGCCCCTAGTGGCCACCCTATTACAATGTATCAGAAGGATAAAGTCAAAAGGGATATTACGGAAAAACACATCTTACAAAGGAGGATACACACATGCTAAAAATCTTAACCAGGATCATAGTCATTATTAGTACTCCTGTGAAGAGCAAAAGCTCCTTCTCATACTCTCTGCTCAAGTATTTTCCTCCTAATACCATTTAGTAACACTGCATATTATCTAACAGAGTACTTTTCACAAACTATATGTACATCATTATTGAATACAATGATTATTTAATTGTCTTAATCTTTCTTTAACTATGTTTCATAGTTTTAAGGGATGAGATTGGGTCCTATTCCAGGCTGAGCTCTTTCTGTGCACTGTGCTGAGCTGGACCAACTTCGCCATGTGTTGATGATGATGCTACCTCCCTACCTCTTAGAATTTGCATTCTGATAAGACCAATGTGTATATTAAAAAATCTATTATAATTCTAGACATGCTGTGGTATTTTTCATAAGAGAGATATACCTCCCCTCTCCTCACCTCATGTGCCTGTCCATTAACCTGTTCCTGTGGATTTTTATGTCCCCAACACATCTTGGGTTTATCTACGATTTACCATCATCCACCACCAACCTAGCTTAAGCCATTTTCTTGATCATTTAAACTACTGTAATAGTCATTTTTGAAAATCAGATTTATTGAACTATAATTAATATACAAGTAGAATTTATGATTTAGGTTAACAGTTCAGTGAATTTTAACAAATATATACAGCTTCATAACCCAAACTGCAGTCACAATATAGAGCATTTCCATCACTCCAAAAAGTTCCCTGGTGCTTCATTCTAGTCAATCTACTTTTCCCACCTCCAGCTCCTAACAACCACTGATCTGATTTATTTCTGCATAGGTTTGCCTTTTCCAGAATGTCTTATAAGTGGAATCGTGTTGTTGACTTTATCAGTAATTCATTATTTTTCTTTTTTGTGTAATATTCCATTATATTGATAAAACTATGCATTCTCAAGTTGCTGATCATTTGAGTTACACTCACTTTGGGGATATTTTGAATGAATTTGCTAAATCATTCATGTCCTTTTATTGATGTTTTTAGTTTTCATTATTGTTGGACAAATGCATAAGAAATAATTATTAGATCTATGGTAAGAGTTTTTCCAAAGTGTTTGTACCATTATGGATTCCCACTGGCAGAGTATGAGAATTTCAGTTGCTCTACATCTTTGTTGTAACTTTTTCATTGTCTATTTAAAATAGAATATTAGTTATTTGAGTATAAAGTGGTGTATCATTATGGTATTATTTTATATTTCTCTAATAACTACTGATGTTGACAATCTTTTCATATGTTTATGCTGTTCATATCTTTCTTTGGTGAAGTGTTCAAATTATCTTATTATTTACCTGTAAGGGTTCTTATAGTATAGTAGAAGTCATTCATCTGCTATGTGTTTTGCAAGTATTTTTCTCTAGTCTGTGACTTGCCCTTTCATATTCTTAAGAATGAGCAGAATTTTTTATTTCAATGAAGTCTACCCTTTCAAACTCAAATCAAATTTTGTATATATCTTTCTAAAATATTCTTACCTCACCTGGTGTCACACATTTCCTCCTATGTTTTCTTCTAGAAGTCTCATCATTTTAGATTATAGGATTCATTTGACTTCTTTTTTAAAAAGGGTACAAGGTATGAATTGAGTTTGTTTTTCTTCTGGTAATTTGTTTTTAAATATGGATGTCCATTTTTTTTCAGCATGACTTGCTGAAAAAATGTCTCCTTTCTCCATTAAATCATTTTGGTACAATAGTAAAAACTCAATTGACCATGTATGTGTATATTTATTTGTGGACTCTGTTCCACTAATGTGTGTCTACCCTTACTGTAATACCACACTGTATCAGTAAGTTATAGTAACTCTTGAAATCAGGTAATAAGAATCCTCCAATATTGCTCCTCTTTGTTGAAACTGTTTTGGCTACTGTAGGGTTTTTCTTGTTCATATACATTTTAGAATCAGTTGTCTATTTCCACCAAAAAAAAAAACTGCTGGAATTTTGATTGGACTGCTTTGATTCTGTCAATAAATTTGAAAAGACTTGACAACATATTAAATCTTTCAGTTGATAAACACAATATATCTCTCCATTTAGGTCTTCTTTAATTTCCATCACCAATGTGTTTGCAGTTCTCAGCACACAAACCTGGCATGTATTACTATAGACCTATCTCTCTGTATTTTGTGTTTCTAATGCTATCTTAACTGATACTTTTTAAAATTTCAATGTCCAATGGTTCTTTACTAGAATAAAGATACAATTAATTTTTAAATAATAACCGAGTACTCTACAAATATGCTAAATTAACTTATCAATTCAAGTTGCTTTTTTGTACATTCTTTGGGATTTTCCATACAGATGATTATGTCACCTATGAATGATGAAAATTTTATTTCTTTCATTCCAATCTGTATGTCTTTTACATCTTTTTCTTGCCTTTTTGCACAAGCAAAGTTGTGTTCCAGTACAACATTGAATAAGAATGGTGAGGTATATATGTCAAATCTGTCTACTTCTTAAAGTTTCATCTACCACCACCTAGTTCAAACTGCCATCTTTATCATGTTAACTACTGTACTAACCCTTTGACTGTTCTCCTTTTATTCTTGTTCCCTTTCTTCTCCAGCCCATACCTATCTACTGGAATGGTGTTTTAGAAACATAAACCTAATTCAGTCACCATTGCTTAAAATCATCCTATGGCTTCCCATGTTCTTAGGATTAAATTTCAAAATTCTTGCTCTGTCCTGCCAGACTCTACACGATTCTGTATCTCTGACCTTCTCAGATCATTTCACTTTCTGTGCTCCAGCCTCTCTAGCCTGCTTTGGCTTCCTTCAGTGTGTTGCATTTCTTCTGGCCTCTCGGCTCTTCCACAAGCCCAGTTTCCTCAGTAAATGAAGTAAATGACTCCACAAAGATTACTCTGAGGATCAAATAAGATGATGTCTGTGACAGAGCTTCATAAGCTGACCACTCAGTGACACTGTAAGATGGAAGACAAGGGCAAAGTGTAACACAAGGTCAAGGCTTCATGTGAGCCTGCACTGGAGTGGCACTCTCATTTTTCAGCAAGCCTGTATAAAAACTCCCAAGTCATCCTTGATTCTTTTCTTTCCTCTTTCCTCATTTCCTACTTCTTACTTCCCTCCCTCCTTTCCTTATCTCCCTCTCCAATGTTATTTCCTTATTTCACATGTAGAATACTACACAGACTCTTAAATGGTATCCTAGTCTCCATTTTTACTTACCATCTTTCTCTCACCAATTGCCATACTATTGCTAGATTTAGCTTTCTAAAAACTCAAATTTTATCATCTGGTTTCCCTTAGTTAAATCTCTAGTGTTTTACTTTGCTGTTAAGATGAAAACAAAATTTAAAACCATCTACAAAGCCTCCTAACACTTATGTTCCTGCCTTTCTCCCTAAGCCTGTCACTTGCTACTTGCAGCCTCTCATCTATGTTCCAGCCACAGGGTACTACATCATTTTGAAGACATGTCCCCTCTCACTCCCCGCTCTTTGCATTTGGTAGTTTCTTTGTCAGAGACACTCTTGCCCTCTTTTCATCATACTAACTCCAATTTACTTTTAGGTCTCAGCTTGAATATTGCATCTTCCAAAACGTCTTCCTTAATTCTCCAATATTGAGTTAAATGCACTCTTCTCCATGCCCCAAGTCATTATTTATCATACTATATATCATATTTTACTCACACAGTTTTGCAATTTTCCTAGTCTATTATCCTTCCCTAATTATACAAAGAATATTTCAAAGAGATAAAGATCCTTTCTTTCATGGACCCCCCAGAAATATATACCCTCTTTGGAGGGAGAATGTTATATAATAAAACAATTAAAAGTCTTGGCTAAGAATAACTTGATTCCTATATCCCAGATATTAGAATTTATAGTACTTTATTGGAAAGAGAGTTTGTTTATGATAGATGCTGAATTTTTTAAAGTTAGACAGTGACCATGTATCAAGAAATGAGACTGTTTTTATCATTGGTGGTTAGGCAATGTAGCATATGTTCAGCCATAAATTATGTGAAGCATCAGATTCAATATAAGCTACATATTAGCCATTTACAAAGAGGAACGAATCTATGACTGCAGTGTGGGACAGCCTTATCAATTATGGTAGAAGCGGCATTCCATGTGGCTCATCCTCCTGAATTTAGCAGTACTCTATCTCCTAGGGGAAGTAAAAATATAGAATGTAAATATTAGTATTGACTCCTATGCAAGTGATGGATATGCATTCAAAAGAACTTGAAGTTAGGGTCTGTTTTGCATCGTATATATTAAACTTAAGCTTATAATCTCAGGGTTAGGAAGAACCAAAAAGTCATCACATCTAGAATCTTAAGAGTCATATGAGTAAATGCCCACAGCACTGGGGAATGAACAGCTCAGTGCAGGACAGTATGATGGACAGGAAACCCCATGATGTGACTCAGGAGTGCACCTGCTCCCCAGCTCCAACCAAAGATTGCCATGTAGGAACGCGGGGATGCCTGCTCACTGTTACCCTACCAACTCATTTCTGGGTGTTTGTTTACAAATCAAAAGATTTCTAAACATTGGCAGTTAATTCGATTTTTAAGAAAACAATATTTGGACTAATACTGTGTGGGCTAAAGAGAATTAGCATAATGGGTAAGAGAATGAGTTGTAATGACCTTAGGCAAGCTATTTAACCTAACTATACTTCAGTTTCTTAATTTTTAAAATCGAGATAATAATAGGACCTACTTCAAAGAGTTGGAATGGTGAGTGACAAC